AAAGAGGGTGAAGAAACAAGCCAACCACCGACAGCCACAGGATGAAATAAATCATTGGAGGCCTACCAATTTATTTGGTGATAATAATGGATGAGTTGGGCACAATGATTTAATTTTGTACAATTTTTTCCAAAGATCATTGTAGATTGATGGACCCAATTCCATGCCCCTCTTCAATTCTAAATATTCCCCAATTTTTTGCTATTGCTCTTTCAAAATAACTCAAATCCCAAAACCTAACCAAGCTCCATAAACAGGAAAAAAAAATCTCCTTTTTTAAAGTTTGGTATGAAATCAAAGTAGGAATCACAATAGGACAAAATTGAGGTTGATGGTAGTCTTAAAGCTTATACGACTTTGTTGACAGAATTTCTCACGTTCAATTTCTCAATTTCTCTTTACTTTCTCCCTCCTTTCTCGTCTGGTTTATCCATAATATTTTAAGTTGATGAAGTTAAAATTTATTCAATGAACTAAGTATAACGATTGAATAAAATTTTTCCTTTATAAGAAATAGAGGCAAAAAAAATTTCCTCTTATGCCTAAACTCACCAGTCTAACCTTAAACTTTCAATTTTATTGAATCCAACTTTAAAATTGGATAAATAGTAAAATTAATTCTCTCAACTATATTTATAAAAAAGAAGAAAAGAAAAGTTTTAGGGAGCACTTATTATTTGAGTTGAATCTAATCGATTAAATTAAAAATTTAAAGTTAAAATTTTCTAAATAAAGAATAGGAGTAAAGATGCTTTTTTTCCTTCATAATTATAGATGCAATTGAATAATTAAAAGAGAGAGAATTATCTAAAGCTTAACTCAAAAGTCAAAAACTTAGAATTAAATTTTTTTTTTTTTATTGAACCAATCAACCAAATATCTTAGTCTTATGTTTTTATCAACTTCACTCCCAAATCCAATAAATAACATCCTGCAAACAAATATGGGCCTACCATTTCAGCCCATTTTCACAAAATCATCTCCAACCATGGGCTCCAAGTGCAAAGGCCCAATCTTCGCCACTATAGTAATCTGGGTCGTGGCCTGTAATACTACTAGCATTAGCATGTAACTGAGAGTTTTTCACATTACCTTTGGGAGTTGGGCCATATTGGGCCCGGCTAACTGTAGAACTCGACGAGTCGGGAGCCCAACCTTTCCTCGCTGATGGGCTCAAAAGTGGGCTCTGTGGCTTAACTGCACTCAGATTCCGGGCCTTGGCCTTCGCCGATTGAGTTGGGGCCATGTAGCTCGGAACATGGGCCAAGTTTGGGCTGGAGTCCAAGTTCATTTCAACGGTCTTCTCCGACATGTCGTCAAGAACGTGGTATGGCTGAGACGACATCCAGCGGTCCAGCGAACTCCAACCCCATTGTGTCGTACGCCGGCCCTCACCTTCATAAACCGGACCAGCTTCATGTTTCCTTGAAGAAAGTTTTCTATTGTTCTCTGAACTTTGAGCTCCCATTTCATTCTTCTTATGAGTAATATTCCTCAGCTTCTCGTGTTTTTGTTTCCATCTTTTTTCTTCGTCCTCTTCCTCGGCACCTTCGACTTTTCTTTGAAACTTGTCGTGCGCTAATTGAAGCCTACGAGCACGAACTCGAGTCTGTACACGAACTAATGCTTGCATGCATCGCATTGTCATTTGTGCTTGTTTCCGTACGTTGTAGCCTCGCACCAATGCTTGTAGCCTCACTAGACCCTTTAATGCACGCAATGCACATCGAGCCTACAAAAAGACAAGACCAGTAAGAAAAATTGTTACGATGAAAGATTATTTAGAGAAAGCATATATAAATGGAGGAAAACCAAGGATCAGAACAAGTGTCCCAGAGAGAAATTAGTTATATTGTGAATTGTGAAATAAAGTAGCATTTACCTTTACAACATGAGACCAGAGATGTATATATATCTTAACTAATTGTATATTATTTTAAGTGATCTACTTTCATTACATTTACATTTAAAAGAGGAGTGAATTCTACTACTAGAAATAAGTGTTATATAGGAAAGTTTGTTGAAGACCCTACTCAAAGACAAATATTATGTTGTGTAAAAGGTATAATTAGGCGAGAAAAGAAGCATATGAGTGCTTGTGTAAGTTAAATATTTGGTTGGCAATGATATTAATTAATTTGTTAGAATAGAGGACGAGAATACATTACCAAGTGACCTCTATAGTAAGATTGAATAACAGTTGCAGCTCTTTCTTCCCTGGAGAACTGGCGCCCATAGCCAGCCAATCGAACAACTTTTGCTGCCGCTTGAGCCGCCGCCACGGCAGCCTCTGCAGCTGCAGCGGTGGCGGCAGCAACGACAATGGCATGGTTTCTATCTTCAGCTGTTAAAGGAGTGGATGTGGTGCTCTCATAATCTGCAGTTTCAGAAGTATTTGCCAGAAAACTTTTGAAGGTTACTACTTCAGGACCGCCATGTTCTTCACATTTCTTCACAATACTCTCCTGCATCGTGTTTCAAAATAGGCATAAACAAAATCTTCTTTCTACTAAAATATACTTGGAAAGGGTATAATAAAAGATATCGTCTATGGTTGTTCATTTTTATGTACTTCCAAATCGTCTATGGTTGTTATTTTGATCATGTACTTTTAAATCGTCTATCTTTTGTGATGGTATTTTTCAACTTTTAGTTCACCTTTAGTTCCTGTACTTTCGAAATTGGTCCATGTACTTAAAAAAATGATATTTTCGCTACTTGCATTCTTATTTTCTGTTTTATTTCTTTCAATCATAACTTTATCATAAAATAGGTTAATGTGTGTGCATTGGGTATAAATTTTGTATTAATATTTTGTAAATATAGACCGATGCTTTGGCAGAGTATAAGGACTAAAAAGTTGAAATTACATGGACTTTTTTAAAGAGCCAAAATAAAGATTAACAAATTCATAGCTTCTTAATCTCCAATTACACAAATCGACAATAATCCATTCTGATTAGAAACTTGATTCATCTAACGAGTTGAGATTACGAAAATTTACCTTAGTTTGAGGCAGGTTGGGAGGGGAAGGTTTGAAAGCTTTCCTCACAGCGAAGAACCAGCTGCCTCCTTTCTTCCCCATCGGCGTCCAATCTAATTATACATCCTTAACCTACATATATTGCGATAATAATTCTTTAATTTTAAGCAATTAGAGGCTAGAGCCTCGATTTTTGCTGCACTGCAAGGCAAAATGCTAACACTAATTCCTTAATTTTACTTTTGATCTACAAATGATGATGATGTATGCGGAAATCCGAAGTTTCGCAAGTTGTAAGAAAACATTAGGAATGAATATGTATAGTATACGCGCAAAGAAACGAGTACATTTATGAATTGTTTTGATCGGAAGAAAGGAGAAGAAATCGTAAAGCATATGAATCGAGAATGAAACCTGAGGCCGAGCGAAGCTGTTATATTCTCCTCTGTCGCATTTCTTCATACATCTGATGTGCGAAAAAGAAAACGAAGAAGAAAAATATGTTCTCCGACTCGTCTCGCCGGAAACTCTGAATCGGAAAAATCAAAAGCTTAGAGAGAGAGAGAGAGAGAGAGGATCGGCAATGAAAGAAAACGATGAGCAGTAAATAACAGAGGAATTAATCGGCGGCAACTGTATTTAACGAGCTCACGAGTGGAAGCGGCTAAAATTAATATTAAAATTATTAAATCTCAAGCTTTTTTTATTATTAAAATACTATTTTGGTTTCCTACTTTTTACTTCTTTATATTTTCAAAATGTTCATTTTGATTCGATATTTTCCATTTTAGTTTATTTTAATCACTACGTTTTAGTCTATATACTTTTAAAAAATTACCATTTTAGTCAATATTTACAAAATGTAACACAAATTCTGAACATAATGAGAATCTTTTGATATAAAGTCGTGGTTATATTTACTAAGTGTAGTGTCATATTGAAATTGTATTAGAAAAAATTAGATTAAAAAATCACACAGATTTTTATTTTCCTTTTCTAACCCTTAATGAATTTGTATATAGTTTATTTAATTTTTATCTATCAAATGTTTTCCTGTATTTTTTTTTATTGCCATTGAATTTTTTAGTATAGTATTTAATACAAATGGTGTGAAATTATGGACTTTGCTTTAAGTCTATGTGTATCAATTGCTCTCTCTCTCTCTCTTTTCTTTTTTTGTGATCTAAGATGTCTGTTAGTTTTAAGGAAAGTAAGATTTACTTAAGCTTGGATAATAGATTATAGGTTAAAAATCCCTTTTGGTCATGTAATTTGCGATTTAGTCGCTCAACCTTAATCGGTAATTATTAGTTGATGTATCTATAAATTTGTAACGATATAACTCATACACTTTAAAGTTCGTAACAATTTAATCTCTAAATTTTTAATTTGTACAATTTAGTTTTGTAGTTTAAAATTTGTAATGATTTAGTCCCTTATCATAAAAAATTTCTTAAGATTTAATGAGATTTCTTATATGTGTAGATCGATAAAATGATTAAGGACCAAATCATGTGTTTATAAACTACACTAAATCGCTGTATAATAAAAATATATACTTAATTTTGATGAAAATTTTCACAACAAAAATTAAATTATTACACATTTTAAACTACAAAAAAAACTAAATTGATATTTTCGGGAATAAATTTTTACAAATTTGAAAGTACAATGACTAAATCGTTTCAAACTAAAATTCAAAGAAAAAAGTATTTTTGTACCGTGAATTATAATTAGTCACAAAATTCTTATTTTAAAACTTAACAATTGAATGTAAAATATGGTTGTTTGAAAATTAAAATATCAAACCAAGATAATTTAAAATTAAAAAAAAATCAATATCAAAACCACCTGAAAATGCAATTTAGGTCCATAGTGTAGAAATAATTATATTATTTTTGTAGCAAATTTCATTTGCTTGGGAAACAAACATTACCTAATTAGGTCGCGAAGCAATATATGATATCTGTGTGAGTTGGGATGTCGTTTTATAGTATTCCATTGGTCCCATCCCTCATTATATCCACACTCAAAAAGTTAAATTAAACCACATATATTATCAATGACGACAAATTTAAATACAAATTTAATCTCTAAACAAATTTTATTTTAATAAGTCCATGTTTTTACTTCAATTAAATATTAACGAGCACATGGGAGGATGCTAGCTGGTTAAAATAAAGGTAAGTGAACGATGTCAAAGGTAATTGACATATATCTCAAAAATTGGTATTTAAGTAATTGTGTAAATAATAAAGACTTATTAGAATAAAAAAATGATGGAATTCAAAATCAAAATAAAAAGTAAAACCGACACGACAATCAAAGTTATCACTAAATTTATAACCTAATGTTATAACAATTATTAGAACATATAAAATTTTATTGGGTTAATTTAGAGATACACGATAAGTATCCTATACTATTCTACAAAAAATACATATCAAGATAAATAATCTTGACATGCTCCTTAAATTTATTTATGTCCTCAAGGAATCCTATGAGGTGGAAATTTCATGTACAATTTTATAATAGTAACGAGAACAGTGATGTTATTGTCGACTAAGATTATCTTGAAATGTTTATTTTTCAATTAATTTTATTTACTTATTTTTTGAGTTAATCAGTACAATGGATAAGAGGAGAATTTGAAATTTTAACCTACCACACAAAATTATTCTGCTTAACCATCGTCAGAGCTGACTCAGGTGAGATAATTTGTTTTTTAATTTTAATTTTTACGTTAATTATATAATTGATATTTAATAATTTGCATTTTGTTAGTAACACTATATTTATAATATTTTACAATAAAAAAAATTATGATTAGTTGTTGATTAAAATATTTTATAGGTGAAATAATGATAATGCGGGTGAGGGTTGCACTTGAACTTTAGCTACCTAACAAACAAACAAGATATCTCAACTACTTCAAGTGCAACTAAATCCACTAAAATTTTCAACTACCAATTTATTAATGAATTGCCACTATTTACAGGTAATTTGTAAGACACTAATAATATGTAGAAAAAAGACACATGGGATATTGAGAATTAAGCACATGGATAAGGGTCTACTTGACACTTGGAGAAACTAAGCAAAGGAAAGAAATTGACACACGGGSTTAGGGTTATTTAGACATCTCATATTTTGACACCTAAGGTTGGACATATAATTTTGGATAATGTTCATAATACTCCCCCTTAGATACCCATTGTTTATATGAAATATGCCTCGTTAAAACCTTACTAGGAAAAAACCCAGTGGGAAAAAAATCCTGAAGGAAAAAAAAATACATATTTCATATAATCTAACAAACTCAAAGAAATACAATATATATTGCTCACCCTCATGGAAATATCACTTGAGATCTCTGAGCCGCCGTATTCCAATATCGCTACCAATCTTTCAAATGTTGCAGTAGGTAATGCCTTTGTAAATAAATCTGTCAAGTTATCCTTCGAACAAATTTTTTGAATATTAATGTTGTCATTTTCTTCAAGATCATGAGTGTAAAAGAGTTTAAGTGAGATATGTTTTGTTCTATTCCCTTTAATATATCCTCTTTTAATTTGGGCTATATATGTTGTGTTATCTTCGTATAATATCGATGAAAGATTATTAGGAAACAAGCCACATGTTCCACGAATGTGTTGAGTCATTGATCTTAGCCACACACATTCTCGACTAGCCTCATGAATTGTGTTGAGTCATTGATCTTAGCCACACACTTTCCTAATAATATCGTTGGAAGATTATTAGGAAACAAGCCACATGTGAACAAATAACCTGTTTGAGATCTAGCTTTTTGTGGATCATATAAATATCCGGCATTTACATAACCAACTAGGTCAAAATTTGATTTATTTGACTAAAACAAGGCCATATCAATCGTTCCTTGAAGATAGCGGAATATACACTTAACTCCATTCCATTGTCTTTTTGTTGGAGAACAACTATATCTCGCTAATAAATTAACTGAAAATGTTATATCTGGTGTTGTATTATTAGCAAGATACATAAGTGCACCAATTGCACTAAGATATGGTACTTTAGGACCAAGAATTTCTTCATTATCTTCTCGAGGTCGAAATATATCTTTCTTCACATCAAGTGAACGAACTTCCATTGGAATGTTCAATGGATGTGCTTTGTCCATATAAAATCTTTTTAAAACTTTTTCTGTATAAGTTGATTGATGCACAAATATCTCATCTGCTAAATGTTCAATTTGCAAGCCAAGACAAAATTTTGTTTTTCCGGGATCCTTCATTTCAAATTCTTTCTTAAGATACTCTATTGCCTCTTAAAGCTCTTTAGGAGTTCCAATTATATTTAAGTCGTCAACATACACAGTTATAATAGCAAATCCTGACTGTAATTTATTTATAAAAACACACGGACAAATTGGATTATTTTGATATCCTTTCTTCAACAAATATCCACTCAGGCGGTCGTACCACATTCGCCCTAATTGTTTTAATCCATATAACGATCTCTGTAACTTTATTGAATACAGTTTTCGAGAACTTTGATTATATGTTTCAGGTACCTTAAATCCTTCAGGGATTTTCATATATATATCATTATCAAGAGAACCATATAAATATGATGTGGCTACATCCATAAGATGCATGTCAAGACTTTCAAACACAGTCAGACCAATTAAATATCTCAGTGTAATCGCATCAACCATCGGAGAATATGTATCCTCATAATCAATACCAGGTCTTTGTGAAAACCCTTGTGCAACCAGTCTTGCATTATATCTTGTGACCTCGTTGTTTTCATTTCCTTTTCTTACAAATACTCATTTGTATCCTATAGGTTTAATGCCTCCTGGTGTTTGGACTACTGGTCCATAGACTTGACGTTTTGAAAGTAAGTTTAATTATGCTTGGATTGCTTCTTTTCACTTAAGCCAATCTTTTCTTTGTTGACATTCTTTGATAGATTTTGGTTCAGAATCTTCACTTTCAGATAGAATGTCAAGAGCTACATTATAAGCAAAAATATTGTCAGTAACTATATTAGTTCGGTTCCATCTTTTCCTCGTCATGATGTAATTTATTGAAATCTTATTATTATCTTTAGGTACTTAACATTCCTTGGTATTTACATGAGTAGTATGTTGGTTTTATGCCCTAAACTCGTAGTTTATAATCATAAAACAAATATTCATTTAATAAAGTTGTTATTGATAGAATTGCATTAACCAAAATCCAATAAACTAACATCATAGGTTATGTGATGTAACTGGAACAGTATATAGATATACAGTATATATTTAATATACAGTGTGTATATATACAGTATATATTCGATATACAAGTGGATAATGTTCCAATCGTAACCTAAAGTGTCTATCGTGATGAGATGTGAATCCCGGAGCGAAAGCGAACCTTCGTTCATGATTTTTTTGAAACAAAATCAAAGGTGTGAAGAAGTAAATACAGGGGAAAGTCTTTACATTTGAAGAACTTTTCTTCAACGAATTCTACTAAACACAACCAAACGATCTTCCGTACTATCCTCTTGGGTCTCGAGAACACGTTTGTGGGAGCGTTTCTTTGGAACAAGATGGAGTAT